TGAGAGTGGGTGAGAGGGAATGAGAGGGTATGAGAGTGGATGAGAGGAAATGAGAGCGTATGAGAGTGGGTGAGAGGGCATGAGAGCGTATGAGAGTGGTTGAGAGGGAATGAGAGCGTATGAGAGTGGATGAGAGGGAATGAGAGCGTATGAGAGTGGGTTAGAGGGAATGAGAGCGTATGAGAGTGGGTGAGAGGGAATGAGAGCGTGAGAGAGTGGGTGAGAGGGAATGAGAGCGTATGAGAGTGGGTGAGAGGGAATGAGAGCGTATGAGAGTGGGTGAGAGGGAATGAGAGCGTATGAGAGTGGGTGAGAGGGAACGAGAGCGTATGAGAGTGGGTGAGAGGGAATGAGAGCGTATGAGAGTGGGCGAGAGGGAATGAGAGCGTATGAGAGTGGGTGAGAGGGAATGAGAGCGTATCAGAATGGGTTAGAGGGAATGAGAGTGTATAAGAGTGGGTGAGAGGGAATGAGAGCGTAAGAGAGTGTGTGAGAGGGAATGAGAGGGTATGAGAGTGGGTGAGAGGGAATGAGAGCGTATGAGTGTGGGTGGGAGGGAATGAGAGCGTATGAGATTGGGTGAGAGGGAATGAGAGGGTATGAGAGTGGGTGAGAGGGACGGAGAGCGTATGAGATTGGGTGAGAGGGAAAGAGAGCGTGAGAGAGTGGGTGAGAGGGAATGAGAGGGTATGAGAGTGGATGAGAGGAAATGAGAGCGTATGAGAGTGGGTGAGAGGGAATGAGAGCGTATGAGAGTGGTTGAGAGGGAATGAGAGCGTATGAGAGTGGGTGAGAGGGAATGAGAGCGTATGAGAGTGGGTGAGAGGGAATGAGAGCGTATGAGAGTGGGTGTGGGGGAATGAGAGCGTATGAGAGTGGGCGAGAGGGAATGAGAGCGTATGAGAGTGGGTGAGAGGGAATGAGAGCGTATCAGAATGGGTTAGAGGGAATGAGAGTGTATGAGAGTGGGTGAGAGGGAATGAGAGCGTAAGAGAGTGGGTTAGAGGGAATGAGAGGGTATGAGAGTGGGTGAGAGGGAATGAGAGCGTATGAGTGTGGGTGGGAGGGAGTGAGAGCGTCTGAGATTGGGTGAGAGGGAATGAGAGGGTATGAGAGTGGGTGAGAGGGACGGAGAGCGTATGAGATTGGGTGAGAGGGAAAGAGAGCGTGAGAGAGTGGGTGAGAGGGAATGAGAGGGTATGAGAGTGGATGAGAGGAAATGAGAGCGTATGAGAGTGGGTGAGAGGGAATGAGAGCGTATGAGAGTGGTTGAGAGGGAATGAGAGCGTATGAGAGTGGATGAGAGGGAATGAGAGCGTATGAGAGTGGGTTAGAGGGAATGAGAGCGTATGAGAGTGGGTGAGAGGGAATGAGAGCGTGAGAGAGTGGGTGAGAGGGAATGAGAGCGTGAGAGAGTGGGTGAGAGGGAATGAGAGCGTATGAGAGTGGGTGAGAGGGAATGAGAGCGTATGAGAGTGGGTGAGAGGGAATGAGAGCGTTTGAGAGTGGGTGAGAGGGAATGAGAGCGTATGAGAGTGGGTTAGAGGGAATGAGAGCATATGAGAGTGGGTGAGAGGGAATGAGAGCGTATGAGAGTGGGTGAGAGGGAATAAGAGCGTATGAGAGTGGGTGAGAGGGAATGAGAGCGTATGAGAGTGGGTGAGAGGGAATGAGAGCGTATGAGAGTGGGCGAGAGGGAATGAGAGCGTATGAGAGTGGGTGAGAGGGAATGAGAGCGTGAGAGAGTGGGTGAGAGGGAATGAGAGCGTATGAGAGTGGGTGAGAGGGAATGAGAGCGTATGAGAGTGGGTGAGAGGGAATGAGAGCGTTTGAGAGTGGGTGAGAGGGAATGAGAGCGTATGAGAGTGGGTTAGAGGGAATGAGAGCATATGAGAGTGGGTGAGAGGGAATGAGAGCGTATGAGAGTGGGTGAGAGGGAATAAGAGCGTATGAGAGTGGGTGAGAGGGAATGAGAGCGTATGAGAGTGGGTGAGAGGGAATGAGAGCGTATGAGAGTGGGCGAGAGGGAATGAGAGCGTATGAGAGTGGGTGAGAGGGAATGAGAGCGTATGAGAATGGGTTAGAGGGAATGAGAGTGTATGAGAGTGGGTGAGAGGGAATGAGAGCGTAAGAGAGTGGGTGAGAGGGAATGAGAGGGTATGAGAGTGGGTGAGAGGGAATGAGAGCGTATGAGTGTGGGTGGGAGGGAATGAGAGCGTATGAGATTGGGTGAGAGGGAATGAGAGGGTATGAGAGTGGGTGAGAGGGACGGAGAGCGTGAGAGAGTGGGTGAGAGGGAATGAGAGCGTATGAGAGTGGGTGAGAGGGAATGAGAGTGTATGACAGTGGTTGAGACGGAATGAGAGCGTGAGAGAGTGGGTGAGAAGGAATGAGAGCGTGAGAGAGTGGGTGAGAGGGAATGAGAGTGTGTGAGAGGGGATGAGAGGGGATGAGAGGGGATGGGAGGGGTGGAGAGCGGATGAGAGTGGATGAGAGTGGATGAGAGCGTATGAGAGAGTATGAGAGAGGTTGAGAGGGAATGAGAGAGTATGAGAGTGGGTGAGAGGGAATGAGAGCGTATGAGTGTGGGTGAGAGGGAATGAGAGCGTGTGAGTGTGGGTGAGAGGGAATGAGAGCGTATGAGTGTGGGTGAGAGGGAATGAGAGCGTATGAGAGTGGGTGAGAGAAAATGAGAGCGTATGAGAGTGGGTGAGAGGGAATGAGAGCGTATGAGAGTGGGTGAGAGGAAATCAGAGCGTATGAGAGTGGTTGAGAGGGAATGAGAGCGTATGAGAGTGGGGGAGAGGGAATGAGAGAGTATGAGAGTGGGTGAGAGGGAATGAGAGCGTATGAGAGTGGTTGAGAGGGAATGAGAGCGTATGAGAGTGGGTTAGAGGGAAGGAGAGCGTATGAGAATGGGTTAGAGGGAATGAGAGCGTATGAGAGTGGGTGAGAGGGAATGAGAGCATGAGAGAGTGGGTGAGAGGGAATGAGAGCGTATGAGAGTGGGTGAGAGTGAATGAGAGCGTATGAGAGTGGGTGAGAGGGAATGAGAGCGTATGAGAGTGGGTGAGAGGGAATGAGAGCGTATGAGAGTGGGTTAGAGGGAATGAGAGTGTATGAGAATGGGTGAGAGGGAATGAGAGCGTAAGAGAGTGGGTGAGAGGGAATGAGAGGGTATGAGAGTGGGTGAGAGGGAATGAGAGCGTATGAGTGTGGGTGGGAGAGAATGAGAGCGTATGAGAGTGGGTGAGAAGGAATGAGAGCGAAAGAGAGTGGGTGAGAGGGAAAGAGAGGGTATGACAGTGGGTGAGAGGGAATGAGAGCGTGAGAGAGTGGGTGAGAGGGAATGAGAGTGTGAGAGAGTGGGTGAGAGGGAATGAGAGGGTATGAGAGTTGTTGAGAGGAAATGAGAGCGTATGAGAGTGGGTGAGAGGGAATGAGAGCGTATGAGAGTGGTTGAGAGGGAATGAGAGCGTGTGAGAGTGGATGAGAGGGAATGAGAGCGTATGAGAGTGGGTTAGAGGGAATGAGAGCATATGAGAGTGGGTGAGAGGGAATGAGAGCGTGAGAGATTGGGTGAGAGGGAATGAGAGCGTATGAGAGTGGGTGAGAGGGAATGAGAGCATATGAGAGTGGGTGAGAGGGAATGAGAGCGTATGAGAGTGGGTGAGAGGGAATGAGAGCGTATGGAGTTGGGAGTACGCATCTCATCGTCGATGGCGGGCCGGTGGACATCTCGAACGTGCTTCACGTCCCGGGATTGAAGGTGAATCTACTCTCCATCACTCAACTCGCAAAGAAGGACGTGAAGGTCACCATCGATGGCGCGAAGATGAACCTCTTTTGGAAGGGGAAGCAATTCGCGCAAGGCGTTCTCAACGGACAACTCTACCAACTCAAGACGCATCCGACAACGGCCTCATCCAACGTGGCTCAAGGCTCCAAGGCGACTCTCAAGAGGTGGCATAATCGGCTTGCGCACGCCAACTACGACTCCGTCAAGGAGTTGGCCAAGAAAGGACTTGCGAAAGGATTTGACGTGATCTCCGGCAATGACGAGAAGGGCGTGTGCGCGACGTGTGTCGAAGGAAAAATGGATCGCAAGCCATTTGGTAGCCGTACCTCACCCCTCGCTAAGGACCCGCTTGCGCTTGCTCACATGGATGTGTGTGGACCGATGCGGCATGCATCAAAGGGAGGAGCGCGGTTCCTCTTAGTAATGCTCGACGACGCGACGCGGATGTGTTGGACCCGACTCTTGAAGTCTAAGGGAGATGCGGCCAAGGCAATTCAAGAGTGGGCGCTCGACGTTTGCGACGACGGCAAGAATCGGATCAAGTGCATTCGCACCGACGGTGGCGGCGAATTCGTGAGCAACGAGCTTGAAAAATGGATGAAAAGCAAGGGCATTAAGCACGGCGTCACGACACCCTACACACCCCAACAAAATGGAGCGGCGGAGCGGCTCAATCGCACATTGATGGAGGCCGTTCGTTCACTTCTTCAACACTCCAAGTTTGGGAACGAGTGGTGGGGAGAGGCGAGTGCGCTAGCGGCATGGATTCGTAATCGTGTGCCAACAAAGGTGCTACCGGGAACGACTCCGTTCGAAGCATGGACCGGAACGAAGCCGAACCTCTACCGCCTACGCACCTTTGGGTGCCTTTGCTACTACCGTGTACCGGATCCACTTCGCCACAAGTTGCAACCGAAAGCTCGTGCGGCGATCTACTTGGGAATTGCGGCGAACGAGCGTGCATGGCGAGTGTGTCCGTCGGCGGGTGTGCCTGCATCCGCCCCGACGCCGGCCCATACTTGGCCATCCACACCTCCAGCGACAGCGTCTCGTAGAAGATCACCTCGACCGACGTGACCACCTTGCTGTCTGTCAGGTCGAGCACCTCCCAGCCCTTACTCTCCGACGACACACCCAGGTGAAGTCCCCAGCGAGCCTTCGGCGCCAGCTTCCCACCGCGCTGCTGCTCGGGAACCATAAACTACACCATGCAGCCCCACACCCGCGCCAGCGTAAGGTCGGGCTTCTGCCCGGTCAACAGCTGGTACGGAGTCGTTCCCGGTGGCGTCGTCGACCGCTCCAAGCAGTTGCGCACCCAGACCGCTTGTCGTAGAGCAAGGTGCCACCAGTGGTGCTGCACGCTCATGTGCAGCAGCATCGTCCGCACGGACTCGACGACCGTGCGCATCTCCCGCTCAGCCATGCCATTCTGCTGCGGAGTGTAGGGGCACGTCAGGTCGTGGACGATGCCCTTCCCGTCGACGAAGTCGGTGAACGCCTTCCCGAGGAACTCCCCTCCTCGATCGGAGCGAAGCGACAGCACCGACTTCTTCGTCTGCCGTTCCACTAGCGCCAGCCACCGCTGAAACTCCCGCAGCACATCGCTCTTCCTAGCGACCGGCATTGTCCATACAAATTGAGTATGGCGATCCTTCAGCAGCAGGAAGTACAAGCTGCCATCCTTGGCAGCTACTCGAAATGGCCCGCACAAGTCAATGTGCACGACAGCTAGCGCCTCCGCTGCGTCCGAGCCCTTGGCAGGGAAGGTGTGCCGCGCCAGCTTTCCTCCGGCGCACGAGACACACGGCGGGTCTGCTCCGGTCGACAACGTGATGTCGAGCCCAGTAGCAACATCATGCTTTACCGAGCTCTTGATCGTGTCGACGCTGACGTGTGCGAGCCGCGCATGCATCCTGTCGGGGGTCGTCTTCGTCGCTGAGATGATCGTCCGCAGAGCCACCACCTCGGTCGACGGCGACTGCGTCGAGCAGGGGCGAAGGTCGGTGCAGAGTACCCGTCCGGTGTAGCGTGCTCGACCGAGCACCTCCCCATTCGCGGCGACGAGCAGTATCTCATCGCCATCGCCCTGCAGCAGCACTCCGCTCTCCTTCAGCTGGCCAGCAGACAACAGGTTTGCCTGTACGCCCGGAAGGTAGAGTACGTCGGGGATGAGGACCCGCTTCCCGGCCTCCCCTTGCAGAGCGACGGTTCCGCGACCCTTGACAGGCTGCAATGCCCCTTTGAACCCACGCACGTGCTTCACCCCGTCGCTCGGCCCCATGTCGACGAAGACCGACTTCGTCCCCATCAGGTGGTGGGAGCACCCGCTGTCGAGCAACACCGCCATCGGGTTGGCCTGCACAGCTGCCGCCACTGCCTGGAAGTCCTCGCCGGCCTCCGGCGCCAGCGAGACCGTCGGCTCCACCACGCCGACCATCGAGCACGACGCCTCCTCGTCGCCTCGGCTCTTGCCGCTGGAGCTGTCAACGTCTTTCGTCGACGACGTCTTCTTCGACGCTTGCTTCTCCTTGCGCGGCTTCTCAACTCGACGGGGGCGACGACTGGCCGATCGTCCGCGGCCTCCCTTGTTGTCGTCCTCGTCACTGTCATCGCGGTCGGGGCACTCAAAGGAGAGATGGTCGGGATCGCCGCAGATCCACCACTCGCGCCGTCGACCACCACCTCGTCGACCCTTGTCCCGCGTCGACCTCTTCTCGTCGACGTCCTTCGTCGACCGCCCACCTCCGCTACCACTTCCGCCCGGCTTCCCGCGCTGCCCTTGCTGCTGATTCAGCTTCGTCGATGCAACGTAGTTCGCCTGCGGAAGAAGCTCTGTGGGCTGTTCGGCCTCCTGCATCGCCTCATCTTGAAGAATGTAGCTGGTGATGGAGTCCTCGTCGAGGGACTCACGCGTGCCGGGCACCATCATCATCCTCTTCATGAGATTGTAGCTGCGCGGCAAGCCCTTGACGATGTGGGTGATGTAGGACGCCGTCGAGTATTCGGCGCCCGCCATTCGCATCTCAGCCAGGATCCGTCAAGCACGGTTGCAGTAATCCGTCGCTGACTCCTGCTCGCCCATCCGAATGTGAGTCATCTTCTCCTCTAGCTGTCCGATGTACAGGTCGTCCCTGACCTGGTACGTCGATATGATGAAGCGCCATGCCTGGTGACCAGCATCCAGTCGCTCTCGACAGCTCCTGAGCACCAGCTGCACCACCGGCGAGCAGCACCTCGAGATGACCATGAAGGTGAGCAGGTGAGCAGAACGAAACTCCCCGCGCAGCCCGATATCCTCCTCGGGCGGAATTGGCACAGTGCCGTCGGCGAAGCCCTTCAGCCCGGCGACCTCCAGCTGAGGTTCGATCGACTCCCTCCAGGTGATGAGGTCCCGTCGACCTTGCAGCGGAGCGACGGTTATTCGATCCGGCGAAAACTTGAAGTAGCCATACGCCGGTGCAATCCCGCCCGCCGTCACATGCGTCGTCGCCGAGAGCCCGCCACCACTTCGTAGAGGAGAGCGACGTCGAACATCGACGTCGGCGTGCGAGCTGCCTGCAGCCGCCGTCGACCGCTGCACTCGCGCCTGGATTCCGTCGACACCACCGTCGACCTTGATCACTCCTCTCTGCCTCGTGCCTTCGTTGCCGCTGACTCGTGCACCACCGTCGACCTCGTCGTCGACGCCACCTTCGTTGCGCACCGGTCGAGGACAAGTAGGACGGGAAGGGTGTTCAGTCACCCACTGCGACTGGATGCCCAACTCGGCGATCACCAAGGGGATCGTCCCGTACTCGCCATCCGCGTGGCGTCTCCTCGCGTCAGCCAAACGTGCCTCCAAGGTGTCCGTTACACCCGCATCAACCACGGGGTCGACCATGGCGACTATCGCTACTGCCGGCCTACGAACGACTTAGTAGGTGCAAAAGTCGGCTCCTATCTGAAGGTCGCGTGTTCGATCCACGCTCACCGCACCATGCGGAGATACACTCTACAACGGTTGTGAGCTGGACTACAGGGTTGGCACGAACTACTAGAGGTGATCGTAGCTTTGCTTGGTTCCTTAGTGCTTGCACATTCACGGGAGAAATTGGCAAGAGTTTCCACTAGCAAAGTTGAGAATCCCAGAATAATCCAAGAAGGAATGACAACAATGACTATATCAGGCACCTAGCAACCCTGCAGCTAGCCTGGTCGACCGCCAACGCAGCTCGGTCGACCGCCTGCCAGCATTGCGTAGAGGAGCCGCGCCAGCACTGCAGAAGGGCGACCTGCCAACAAAGCAGGTCGACGGCGTGCCCCGTAGAACACAGGAGTGCGCGCGCTCGCAGGTGTGCGCAGACGATTGGCCCGACTTGCCTCGTTGGGCATCCGTCGGCTGTTGTCTGCGCCTGACGAGCCACATCGACTTCGGGATACCAGTCCGAAGTCGTCTGCGCCATCGCGATCTCGACGACGTTCGCGAGCCTTCGCAGAACTCGTCGAGCAGGTTACCCGGTCGACCTGGTCGACCCCTGGTGCTCTGGTCGACCCCCAGGTGCCTCCGGTCGACCACTGGGTCCCTCTGGTCGACCACCAGGCGCTCCTGGTCGACCACAACTCCCGTCGAGCTACCCCCTGGTCGATGGACCCCTTCCGTCGACCAGAACTGCTCTGTCGACCTCCCGGTCGAACTGTAGGTCGACGGGATGCTCCCCAGACCTCCCGGTCGAGTTGCAGTTCAGCGGGATGCTCCGTAGACCTCCGCGTCGAACTGTAGGTCGACGGACTGCTTCGTCGACCTCCCGGACGGCCCACCCGTCGCACTGACCAGTCAGTTGCAGCTGTCGAGCTCCTTGGTCGACAGCAACACCACAGCGGTCCGCTGCAGCTCGACGTAACCTGTCGAGCAGCTATCCCACTGTGAACGGTCGGCTGCTACTCCCGTGCATCCGACCAAGTCGTCGGCGTTGCCCAAGCGAGGGCGGGGCCAACACTCCATTCCTGTTAACAGTACTCACGACAAGGGAAAATCGATGACCAGACACGAGACGAGACATGCTTCCGTACTGCATCAGTGTTACTGTCGTGATGCAGAAATCGTCTTGCGCGAGAGTACTCGCGAAACTCGTTGACGTTCGCTCGTTCGTCGTCAGCTGACAGTTGTTGCCAGGTTGTCTTGTCCACATGACCAGGGGTATTCCTTCCTCTGACCAGTCAAAAACTGTCGGCGCTGTGTTGATGTAGTTTTGTCAATGTTTCCCTGCCCGACATCTACCCATCAAATCGTGAAGATGAAAATTGTTGGGGGGTTGTACATTCTAGTTGATACTTATACTAGGGTACCAATCAGTTCGAAGGAGTGGTACGTATACAATCTCTTATTTCGGGCAGAGCCTGAATGTCGAAACGATGTTCCTGCTGTGCTGAAAAACGACGACTTCTTTGTGAAAGAAAATTCCTCCCAATCTTTCCTGGGGTTGGTTGGTCTCCGCGGACCGCGACCCACACTGTTCAGTGGTCTGACCAGTCTGCCCCTCACACTTCCGCCTAGGCTCTGCGCAGCGCGACCTTGGCTGTGTGTGCGCCAACTGAGAATTGCTCTCAAGTCTACTGGACAAATACCTGCACGCATTCCCTCATTCACCAGCAGAACGCATTTGAGCATCCTTTTACACACGCCCTGCACTCGTAGCTTCCCTCGAAAATCGACTGTTCTTGGCGTAACTTGCTTCGATCGTCAGACACGATGACGCGCGCCGGTCTTATCCCTCTCCTCGTCCTGCTCCTCGTCGCGCCTGGTATGCTCGTAGCTCAGAAGAACTCGTCTACTAAATTGGTCCAGTGGACGCCGACTTCCCAGCCTTCCTTGTTTGAATTAAAGTAGTTGGCCGGCGCTCCCTTTCCTTGAATGTCAGACGCGTTACTTCGGGTTTCAATGTGTCATTACGATCTTAACGCGTCAACTTGCAACATCTGATCTGCTTTTTTCTTGCGCTGCCTGCGCAGTTCTCGGTCACGGGGGTGGCGGTGGTTTCGGCGGCGGAGGCCGCGGCGGAAGGGGTCCCCACGGCCCGCCGATCGACGCGTCTGTCACCGGAAATCTCACAGGTGCGACGAGTGCACCATCTAGCACGGTTCAGTCCGCCAGATTCGTTCATCCCGTCACAATGCGATCCCGAATACATTTTTTTCTGGAATTTCCGTTCACTATTGGATGCCAAACGTGCGCTGGTCTCTTTCCGCCCCTCCCCGGAACCCCCACTCCCCCCTCCCCTTCTTCCCCCACCGCCCCCCTTCTTCCCCCTCCCTCGCCCCTTCGTACCATCCGCAGGTCGCGTGGGCGCCTGGGTCTCTAACTGCACGACGGACATCGGCGCGACTCGCGGCAAGTTCCTGCTCGCCGTCTTTAAGGACGAGTCGTCGGGCACGCCCGTCTACAACCTCTATTTCGACGCGGATCTTGACGAGTACAGCGGAACCGCGCCCGACACGATCAACATCGTGCAAGGCGCGGCGTGTGACTCCACCGCCACCGCCGCCCTCACTCTGCCGTCCACCGGCTGGACCACACAGACGCGCGGCGGGCGCGGCGGCTCGCACACGGAGCTGCGCGTGACGGGCACCGTGGAAGGCGCCGACGCGACGGTCGTCGAGGCGCTTCTCGCGGGCGTGCCGAACGCGACGGTGACGCAGAACGTGTTCACCAAGGTGATCAACGGCGCGAAGCAGGGCTTCCAGAACGCCTTCGGCGGACGCCGCCGCGGGCGCGAGCTCGCGGGGAACAGCGCGGGGAAGCTGACGCAGCAGTTCCTGAAGCGCCAGCGCCAGCGCCTCGCGTGGATGGGCGCGAAGACCAAGGCGCTGTTCGCGACGTTCATCGGGACCACCGACACCACGACTGATTCGCCGTACGCTGTCATTTTTACCGACAGCACGACCGGCAACTCCTGGAGCGCCGCGCTCACTGGGAACTTCGGCAAGTGTGGCGGTCGTGGCGGGCGGGGTGGCAACGGGCCTGACGGTGACGGCGATGGTCCTGGTGGCGCTGGTGGCCGTGGTGGCCGTGGTGGCCGTGGTGGTGGCTATTAGAGTGATGCTATGAACTCAGCTGAAATGTGGGGGCGGATTTGATTCAAGCGTGGATCACGGAGAGGAGTGAAGCTAGCATGTCAGGGGAATGCGGCGTTGGGTGAGGGGGGGAATTGGGGTGGGGTTTAGAGGGGAGGGGGGAAGAGTAGGAGGTGGGGGGGGGCGTGGGTCGCAGGGGGAGGGGATGCGGGGGGTTTGATCACGTGGGGTCTTCGGTCGACTTTTTGAGAAACTCGGTTATGGACGCTTCGTTATTGTCCTCTAGAGTCGACCCAAGACAACCACTTTTGTGTGTTTTTTTGTTGAGTGGCAGTGTTAAAGTGGGACTAAAATGAAATTTCGCTTAATACTACAATAGCTTGTTCACATTCTGGTATTCCAACCGGCAGAATGCTCCAATGTTCCACTTGGACGCAAACATATGATAAAATAATCATGTTAATGTTACAATGTCATAGAGAGCATCAACACATCAGCCTCTCACTGCTGCTTAGCTTTACTGAACCTCACCAGAAGCAGAAACGTAACCAACCGTACAAACACCCCAAAACCCAGCAGCACCGCAACATTCTCCCACATGTCGAGCTGATTCACCGCCAGTGTAGTCGTTAGCAGCTGAGGCCCGTCCCGCAAACATGTGCTTGTAGTGATTTTGCTATAAGGAGTACCAGCCAGCACCTGCCGCATCCCCACCATGGCCTTATTGATTCTGGTTGCATTTAAATACGGCGCCACGGGTGTATTATCAAACATTGTGCCAGCTTCCAAGTAACAGGGTCCTCCGGGCCTGGTGGGGTGATGATTCAGGAGAGAAATGGAGATTGGGGATTGGTGCTGAGGAGTGGGAGACGGTGGGGAAAGATGGTGCGGAGTGGGAGATGGTGGGGAAAGATAGTGAAGTGGGAGATGGCGAGAAGTGATGCCCACATCATTCCACCCATACTCATGTCCCCAGCAAAAGGGTGCCGATTTCTCACCTGCCAAACTTGGTTGATCGTCAGCGCTTCATAAGCATAGTTCATGGGCAAGAGGTAGTGCAGCCAGACCCAGCCGTCCGGGATGCCATTCCACTGCATGCAGTGTCACCCTCAGCATACAGGTTAAACCCACTCCTCACCTGCCAAACTCGTTGATCGCCAGTGCCTCATAGGCATACTTCATGGGCGAGAGGTAGTGCAGCCACATCCACACTTCCGGGATGCTCTCCCTGTCAATGTAGAACCCACTGAGGAGAGCGAAATACGCCATGAGAGCTATGGCCACTGCATATGCCAGCACAACGCTGGATAGGAAGGAAGGAGGGAGAGAAGGCACAGGGAGAGGAGGGGAGAATGAGGGTGTGTGCAAAGAGCCTCCACAAGGCTCTCCCTGTCGATGTAGAATCCGGCAAAGAGTGGAGGAGAAAAGAGGGGTGAGAGGAGAAATTCGCCACACTTACTGGTTGACGCAGATGCTGACGCATGTGGCGATGGCATTCCCGGTAAACAGCATGGCAAAACACGCAAGAACCATGAAGCAGAAGCCTTGAGCGCCCCCCTGCAGCCCCAGGCACCACCAGGCCTCGAGCACGAGCGTGAGCGCCATGAGCAGGTGCAGGGGGAGATAGACGAGCGTGGAGGAGAGCAGGTAGGTGGACGGGCGGTACGCGCTGCTGCTGGTTTCTCGAAGAAAGATGTTTCGCTCCTGAGAGAGGGTGGAGGGAGAGGAGGACGCATGGCATTGGATGGCATGGCATGAGATGGCATGTTATGGGATGGCATTGTATGGGATGGCATTGTATGGGATGGCATTGTATGGGATGGCATTGTATGGGATGGCATGGCGTGGGATGGCATTGTATGGGATGGCATGGCGTGGGATGGCATGGTATGGGATGGCATGGCGTGGGATGGCATGGCGTGGGATGGGAATAGGAAGGAACATGAGATCTATCGACGTCACACACACCTGGATGAAGATGGGAACAGCATCACAGGAGACGAAGAAAAGCACGCAGATGGCGAAGGAGAAAAAGGCCAGCCGCTCCTGAAAGCCCTTCATGCTGGCAAAGGGTGGGGTGGAGCCATGGGCATGGATGGGAGGCAAGGGAAGAGAGGGAGATTGGAAAACTTGCTTCTCTGATTTTCTCCAGCTCTCTAATACCTCTTCCAATTCTGCTTCCCCAAGGCCCTTTTTTTGAACTCACTACGTTATGCCTTCCAAGCTTGAGTTTTAGCAGTTTCACTTTACCTATCGTTTGGTTGGAAGAAGATGGTTGCGAGCATTATCCCCGTTATTGCAATCAGGCCCAGCCGCAGAAGGTACAGCGCGGGCGTGCGAAACGTGATCAGGGCGTTTCGTCTCGTCAGCACCGCCAGCTCGGCGAACCATCCGTTACCATACTTTCTCGTTTCGTCAACCCCGCTTTCTCGTCGCCGCGTCTTCCCCCTTGCCCCTATTCTCCCCCACCACGTAGCCTTCCCGCTTTCGCCATCCCGATTCGCGACGCCCGTCTCCACATCCTCGTTAGTGCCTCTCTCTTTTAGCGCGCTCGGAAGTTGGAAATATCTGGAGTTCCAAAATCTCGATGCTGCAGCCGCAGCGCCTCGGGTTCTCGCACTTTCCGGCGATGTTGCTTCTGTGTTCAGGCCCTGCAATTGTAAAACACCCTCTAATTGAGGGTTACACCGCAGCGCAGCCTCTTCTCCCAGGTTCCCTAGCTTCCTTTCCCGCTCCTCCTCTTCCTCTTGCTGCCTCTCATATACCCGCGCAAAATCCACCAAATCCGCGACACCGCGGCTCGACCGCTGCATATCCTCGATAAGGTCCAGCGCGAACTCGGTGCTGTTAGCGAACTGCGGCACGGGGAACCCGGCCGACTCGAGGAAGCGCGGCAGCGCGGGAGGCGCGCCGTGAAAAACGGCGTGGCCCGACGCGAGGAGGATCAGGCGGTCTACTAGGCCGAGAACGCGGAAGCTGGGCTGGAAGGGGGAGAAAAAGGGGGGGTTGGTCGGCGGAAAGGAAAGGTGAGGAGAATGGGGGAATAGGGAGGGGGATGTGGGGGAGGGAGGGGGAGAGTGTCGGGATAAGGGCGGTGGTCGTCCCGAGCACGTAGAAGAGGAAACCCGGTCGTACCTGGTGCAGCACCATGACCGCGATGCTGTTCGTGTTGGTCGCGATGTCCTTAATCGCCCGCACCACGCGGAACGCGCTCGTCGAGTCGAGTCCCGACGTGGGCTCGTCCAGGAAGAGAATCTTCGGGTCGCAGATAATCTCCGTGCCGATCGCAACGCGCTTCCTCTCGCCACCAGAAACGCCCCTGCAAATGGATTGCAACCCCAAAAAGTACCGAGAACTTGGGTATAATCCTCATTTTCGCCACTTCTGCCAATCCCAGCAAAGAAGCAAGACTGAATCCAAGGGTTCTCGTATGACCCCTGACGATGGTGACAGGCACTTTTTCTAAAATTCTTCCTTACCTTTGTCCCTCGTCCCCGATCTTCGTTTCCGCCACTTCTGCCAATCCCAGCAACTCGAGCAACCGCGCTACCTTCGCCGCCTTCTCCTCCCGCGTCACGCTCTGCGGCAGGCGAAGCTCCGCCGCGAACATCAGCGTTTCGCGCACCTGGTTACCACACGCCACGAAAAGGTGACGAAGAATTAGCTCGTGCTCTATAGAACAGAATGCTACGAAAGGACGACAATATGTCGCACATACCGTGAGCGACGGGAACATGAGGTCGTCCTGCATCACATATGCCGAAACTCGTCGCATCGTTCCGCTTCGCACGGGTAACCCGTCAAGCTCCACTTCGCCCGTTCGCCGACCCGATGCTATACGGCACGCCAAGATGTTCAGCAGCGTCGTTTTCCCCGCTCCACTGGCCCCCATAATCGCTGTGATCTGCCCCGATTTTGCGCTGCCGCTGATGTCGACGAGAATCTTACGGCTGGAACTACTTCTCACGCCAATTCGCCTGGAAATCGAGCGCTCCAAAGAGCGTAGCTTGCTGCCAGAACCTGAAAACCTGTCTGAGTCGTGGGCTGTCCGCCCTATGTCCCCTTCTGAATGGCTGATTACGGGTTTGAGATTATCAGTACTACTGCCACTACCATTGCGACCAGCGTCGACGTGTATGTGAATTTCGTCGCTCGCCGCGCTTTCGTCGCTAGGCAGCGGCGCGATTTTTGAAGTGTTGATCTTACAGCACACGTTTTTCCGAGCTCTCGATGCGACAGAGTGCGAAAGGTTACGAAATCGCAACACAGATGTAACCCCACAAGGCGCAAACGAACCTTCGCCCGTGTCGCACATCCCTCCACCTCTTCCGCACCCGGGATCGCAATCGCGACCAGCCTCTGCATGATCGCACGCCGACGACGATGACGACGTCGTCGCAGAGTCGTCTGGCGACTCATCCGACTCAGGATCGCGGGGAAACTGCAGCGGCCGTGTCGTCAATTGCCCGCGCCCCTCGAGCACGGGATACGGCGCGCTGCGGATCTGATCTCTAGCAACCGAAGCATCGGTCGCAAGCGCGCAGCGTAACGGCTCTCTAGCGGCTGGGCTATCTGTCGCCGCTACGTGCCCCATCCCGATGTTAACCTGCCCGTAACCTCGTGCGAGGCCATCATGGGCGGCGTTCGTTGTCGCGAGATCCATGGCCAGCCCAGCATCGGGGGGCGGATTCGCGGATGGAAATCGGTCTTGAGTCCACGACCTCTTGCCGGCCACGGTTACCATTACCATGAACGGATATTGTACGTAATAATCTGGTTCCGATCTAGTGAATACCTTCTGAGGCGCCTCAAAGGTTTCGATCCACACCTTGGCGGTAACCCAAGTTTGGAGGTTACGGTCAGCTAGCCCAGGGTTACTAGATCAGCGATATCGTTAATAGTGCCTCATACTGAAAATTGATTTCTGTCAGAGGAAGCATTACCACTGTCATGGTGTAAGCAAACTTCCGGCACGACTACGATGACATTGTACCACGACTTTGCCCGTGTCTAGCGGTTGTTGGTCGGTTGCGGGGTATACTGAAATGAACGCAAGTTCGCAATGGAAAGGAGCCGTAACGACAGGCAAAACCAGCATGGACCTACCACGAACAAGGTTCAGACTTAGGAGCATGACGTGTGTTGTAGGTCGTTGGGTGATGAGGTCTATCTCTGTCAAAACAAACTGGAGCTTGCCGACATGGTTGCTCGTTGCTGAGGGGGAACACGGAACTGGATCCTGTGCCCAATTTGAGAGTAAAATTTTGTTGGGAAGCTTGGGAATTTTGATATTTCATGGAATCCGCGGCTCGGTTATTCTCTTGTGGCGGTACGGGCGGTGAAAATTACTGACATGATCGATCGAATCGGACGGCTGAAAAAATATGGAAACCCAACAAAAATGCTCGTTAGAGGGGGAATATCATTGGCGAGTGCGACCGGCTAACCGCAGGTTTCTAAATTGCACACGTGGACTTGTTGGTGTTTCCCCCCTGTCGCGCTTCTCGGGAAGATCCTGACTCACCCACCAACAAGCCCACATCGTGGTCGTACACATATTATAAGATGCTCCCTATAGGGACACTCTCATATGCCTACAAGGATGGTGAAATGGAACAAGGATTCCACACTTTGGCATATATAATGTCTGTTTTCAAGATATGAATTTTAACCATATATAATGTTTTATTATATTATTATGGGGAATAATTTACCCTATCTACACGAAAATGGCTATTTCAATCGTATTCATCATGCGTGTTACTTGTGGGATTAACACTGCTTGTAGACAAAACCAGCGTGTTCAGTAACGAGTCTCAAGCCTGGATTCTCTGCAGCAGCTGCTGGACCGCGTTCCTTGAGCCCCTGCTTCTTTCGATCCGTGCTGCAAAATGAAGCTGAAACGTGTTCGACGAGGAGCGCAGCGCACAACGACGGCGAAACTGTGAGAATAAGCGAACAAGAATGAATGAACTAGCAGTGAAAATGAGTACAAGTAGGAAACCCTAGAATTGTGTACCCCCTATAGGCTAACCCACTGTAGCCTACACAAGCATAACATATATAATGTTTGACACACCCCCATAGGTAAAGTGGGGGAGAACAAGGGGTCACAAGACCAGTCAAGCAAAGCAAAGCAAGCTCAGGGTGGATCACAAAGTCACCACACAGTCCGAGCACAAGAGCAGGGCCAGAGGCCAGTTCACATGCAGGAGTACAGACATATATATAAAACTAGACAAGCAAGAGCAGGTATATATATATGTCACAGTACAAGTGAAGTCAAGAGGAGAGCAAGTGAGGCAAGACAGGCACAAGACCCAGCTGTGTGCAAAAGCGCTGATGGTCACAAGGCGCGAGTGCCTTGGTGAACACATCAGCAGTGTTGGCCTCAGAGGCCACGAACGCAAGTCGCAACTGACCACGCTGCTGCAGCTCACGAGCAAGGAAGTAGCGGAGAGCAATGTGCTTCGTTCTGTGCTCCAAGCGCTGCTCTCGACACAAAGCCAGCATGGCCTTGTTGTCTACGTACAGCACGGGAGGAGAACGAGGCGGCTCTCCAAGGTCAGTCAGCAGGTAGGTGAGCCAGCGAAGCTCCTGTGCAGCCATGGCCCCGGCGTAGATCTCAGCCTCACAACTGGAGCCGAGAACCGAAGACGAGCGAGTAGACCGCCACGAGACAGAGCCGGAACCAAGGCTGAAGGTGTAACCCTGTGACGACCGCTGCGTAGCCTGGTCGTCAGCCCAAGAAGCGTCCGCGTGGCCGGTAAGGACCACTGGACTCCGCCCTCCAAGCACTAGCCCCATGCCCGACGTACTGCACAGGTAGCGCAATACCCTCTTCGCTGCAGCCATGTGCTCTGGTCTGTGTCTCCCAGGAGCAACATAGCGTGCAAGAATGCTCAGAGGGTATGCAAGGTCAGGTCGTGTGTAGGTCATCAGGTACATGAGGCAGCCAACAAGCTCTGCATACGGACCACTCGACTCTACGGACTCATCCGAAGGCAGAGCTGAGAGTGAGTGGCGAGTAGGCAGAGGAGTGGCCTGAGGCGAGGAGTACGTGAAGCCGAAGCGCTGAAGGACCTGCTGCACCATGTGTGACTGAGTCAAGGTAATGGTGCGGCGAGCTCTGTCCCGAGTGATCTGCAAGCCAAGGTAGCTGCGCAGTTCACCCAGGTCTGTGCACGTGTGTCTCTTCAGCAGCTCGGACTTCACGTAGGCGAGTCCAGCAGTGTCCGCTGTGGCAAAGACCAAGTCGTCGACGTACACGAGGATGTAGAACGGCGGCAGGGAAGTGTCGGTGCGAAGAAACAGCGACGGGTCAGAAGTAGAAGGAGCAAACCCAAGAGCCGCAAGCGTAGTCCTCAGTGTGTCGTGCCACTCACGCGGTGCCTGGCGGAGACCGTAGACTGGCCGTCGGAGGCTCCACTGGGTGCCAGGAGGGAAAGTCCCAGTGAAGCCAGGTGGACGGCGAAGCCAGATCTCCTCGTGCAGGCTACCCTGCAAGAACGCAGTGCTGAAGTCGAGAGAGTGAAGCTCGTAGTCGCGCTGAGCGGCTATGTGCAGCAGCACCCGAAGAGTAGTCATCTTCGGGGTGGGAGAGAAGGTCTGAAAGTAGTCAACTCCCTGCCGCTGACTGAAGCCACGAGCAACGTACCGTGCCTTGAAGACAGGTGGAGAGCCCGGCGGCCGCTTCACCCTGAAGATCCACATGCCACTGACGATGTTCGCCCCAGGAGGGGGAACCGCGTCAACGTAGGTGCCTGTGGACTTCGAGGAAGCCATCTCTGCATCCATAACTGCCTGCCACTGAGAGGAGTAGGGACCCTCTACGGCCTCCGCGTAAGAACGCGGAGTCGGGATGTCTAGTGCATCCGGGTCTCCCTCAGGGGCAAGCAGTACAGACGCGAGATGAGGTGAAGCAGCCGCTAGACACTGGAACTCCTCCTGCCTGTCCTCTAGGACGTCCGTGCTAAGAGCACACTCACCCCCGACGGACGGAGGACAGACAGACGCAGACTCAGCAACAAGACTAGCAGCGTAGTCGAGACGACAGCGAGCAGCAAAGTCGACGAGCTTAGCGACTAGAGCAGACGCAGCAGTGGACTCAAAAGAGGGGTCAGTGACGACAGTAGCAAGCAGACGCGTGACAGTAGGACTGGCAGCACGAAGAGAGTCCGACTCAGGGTCGGCAAGCGAAGGAAGAGAGGACTCAGGAGGAGAAGGCAAAGGGGCACGCAGAGGAGCAGTGGACGGACGCAAAGACATCCGGTGCGTGCCAGGGACAGGAGGAGGACGCTGACGCGAACTGCGACCACTAGCGCGAGCAGCACGAACAGGCGACGCGGGACGAGACGCAGGCTCACGACGCTCAGCAAGACCTCCAGTAGGACCAGTGTAAGGAGAGGGAGCAGGCAGTGGAGAGGAAGGCTCCAGCAGGGACTGCGACTGGACAGGCGGTGGACCCTCTACTGGAGGAGAAAGACCAAGAACCTGCTGCAGGAGCGGAACGAAGTACGGCCGAGGCCGCGCGGCAGCTCCAGACTCAGCAGGGACAGCACCTGCACCCTCAGCGACAGCACCAGCGCCACCCACACCTCCAGCGGCAGGACCAACAGCAGTAGGCTCAGCACCAACGCCCTCAGCAGCTCCAGCTCCAGGAGGACCCGCAGGTCCAGCAGCTCCGGGACCGGCAGCACCCGCACCCTCGACGGTCGAAGAAGCTCCAGCTCCAGCTCCAGCAGCACCTCCAGACTCAGCAGCACGCCTCCAGCGGCGAGCGAACCACTCGCGCAGCTCCTGTGGAGAGAGGGGCTCGCGGCGAGACGCAGCAGCAGGAGAAACCCCAGGCTCAGCAGCTCCAGACGCAGCACCCCCAGGCTCAGCAACTCC